TACAATTGATATTTTGTTCAGAACAGCCGTTTTACGGAAATTATTGGACATTAGATTCTCATACAAACACTGTAATTTCTCACGCGTTTGCCTACTCGTCAAGATGGCGTCGAAAACCGTGACAAGGTCTATTATACGCTTCGAGATCCAAATGATGACTATGGCTGTTAGTTCTCCCTCTGTGTTGCAGAAGATCTCGTTGGAATTTTAAAATGTTTGTGAATGTATATACAGTGACAAGGAAATATGCATGGTAATTTTATCATATTAAACCAAAAAAAATATACTCCCAGGGAAGGGGTATTTGACATCAGTGTTTTCCCCCTGGGTAAAGACTTTGACATGAAAATAGGCTAAAATGTCAAATCCCCCTGGGTATGCACAGCCCCCCTACCCTGGGGCTTAACATCGACTGGTGCATTACGCTTTTCAACGGCCGGGAAAAGCACAGGGAGCCAAAGCTAATTACGAAAGTTTTAATAATCATGAATACGTGTTAGGGTATAATACTGCATAATCCTCAAAATGGCCTTGAATATAAAGGATTTGTTTGGAAACCCAGTAATAGATTAAATACTCGCACGAATTTTGAATAACAACGGTCTACCTTATTTAATTGGTTTGTTCTTGCTTCCTGTGTGGTTATCTCAGGATAAAAACTATCGTGGGATAAAAAAATATCTTGGGATAAGAAATTATCACAGGATAAAACTGTCATCTCAAGATAACATTATCACAGGATAAAAAGTTATCTTTAGCTCCAAAAAAAAATTCTGCTGCATATTTGAAAGAGTGTGAATGTTTGGATGGCACACCAATGGGCCACCATAGGTAACAGACAAATTCCCAAAACATTTCAAATGTCACATCTACGAACAGGTCACAAGGTCATGTGTGTGTTGCATATTTCTGGTCTAACTTTTGATTGGCCCATAGAACAATGCTGAAATTTGGCCGTGAGGTATAAGACTGGGGAACAGGGAAAATGAAGTTAAAAAGGTTGTTTTAGTCGTGTTTCTCGCTGTTTTTTTCAGGCAATTTTTTTATTTCAGCCAATCGCCACCCTTGAGTTCATTGAAATTAATGATTAAAAGTCAACGCCTTTTAGTTGAATTTGCTGTTCACCTGAATACGTTTTACACAGACCATTACTTCAGAAAATTATAAATTAAAATGATATCCCCATAAGACCATAAGGTGTGTCTTTCCAAACATCTTAATTAAAGTTCCCTTTACATACTAAAACGTTCGATTTTCCTTCCCTTTCATATCGTTCAACTTGTAAATTCCCCTTGATATACCTGAAGCCAGAAAAGGTACCCTGTTCCCACCTCCCCATATAAGCCATTATAGGGAGTAACCCTCCCCCCTTCCAGAGCAAAAAACCCTCACTTTCCAGACGAGGCTATGTGCAAAACCTTTCTCATGATATTGGGTTTTATTTGAATAAGAAAAAAAAATCATTTTTAAATCAATGGTTTCACACTTAGCCTCACTTTGAAACAGAGGTTTAGGGCACTAGGAAATGGTGAATAATGTCTTTTTCTAACTTTTTCTTGTTCAGCATGTTTATTGCCAATTCTGTTTACAAAGTAAGTTTAATATTCTTGAAATAACACTAAACACAATCATCTACAAACCAATCAAGCAATTTCAGTCTTGGGGTAAGCAAATTCTATTGCCATGGCAACAAAATTGTTCATTAGAAACTTCAACAGGGAATAATAATAATAATAATAATAATAATAATAATAATAATAATAATAATAATAATAGACTTTATTTAGAGGGTAGCGCAGAATAGTTACAGAAACTAATAAACTTGTGGCCCTCTATATTCAAATACGAAATTTAAAGTTTCTTCCATAGATTTCTGAAAGACAGTTTCTTAAGAATAGTATCTGTGCCAAATTTGGTGGAAAGTGTAAAAACCAAAGAAAACAAACTAGAGGGTCCATCCAGAAAAGGGAAAAGAACATAATTTTTAGAAAAAAAACTCTTAAAAGTAAAATCAACTTATAGGTGCTTTTGGAGGACTGAATCTAGGTGATGAGGCTTATTTGGACAAGGTATTTCCCTCTTGTACTTGCACCAAGAATTGCTTGAGCATTACTTGTGTCTTTCTTTATCATGTATTTTCAGCTGGTGGAACCAAACCAGCTATAATTTCAGTCCACATGGCATATGCAGTAGCAGCACCATCTTCCTCTTAAACAGAGTATTGTTAATATTTCTGTTTGCATTATTGGTCTGTAGTCTATGACAAATCACTGTGAAATGGATTAAATTCTGAATGACTGCATTTAAATTTCACAGACATATAGAGAACACTAACCCTTTTTTAAATCAGCCATTGATGAACTGAATAATCTTTCAGCTCCAACAGTTTTAATTTCCGTGAATATTTTATAAGGATGGTTTTTCTTATTTTACACAGCTGGCTTCAGGTATGCTTCACAGAATAATGTGCCACCTGTTGGTCTTTTTTCAATTTTATGCTCAGAAACAAAACTTCCTTGTATATAGGTAACAGGAAAAAAACAGGTACTATTCCTGCACAATAAAGATTCTGTTCATACTTTAATCACTATAGATATATATAATGTCATAGCCTCATTTTTGACTTAAACTGCAAATTTCTAAACTTTTTTATTCACACATCTATTTCATCCTCGGGCCAAAGCTATGTGGGATTCCGTACAGGATATTTCTAAGCAGTGGCATGAAAGGCCATCTTTTTCTTAATCTAATGGTAGCATGCATGCAGGCCATCCTTTTTTGTGGTTTATATCGGCACCAAAGCAAAAGCACCTGTTTGGATGTGAATAGTTTCCCATGAAGTAGGACCAAGAAACAATATAATCCTAAGTACAAGTTGCAGTGTAAATAGTACTTAAGGTCTTGCATGCCATCATGACACAGAATAAAAAGCTTTTATGAAGAAAACAAGGGATAGGTAAATCACAGAAAATATTCTTGGGTTAATTGCATTACCTTTTCTGAAAACTAAAGATTTGGTGAAAGTTGTGACAAAGAAAATAATTTTTTTGAGCATAGGCTATTTTTTTCTGATCACATTAAAATGTCAAAAATTTATTCATCCTGAAAAGCAAAGCTGGGTTAAAGCTACAGACAAAAGCTATCATACATCACACTGTTTAGATCTATGGAAAAAGCTTTTAAATTTTCAAGCATTTTAATTTAAAAGCTTATTTTCATGCAGTGCTTGTGTCATTCAAATAGTGGGCCTTTGAGGTCTTATATACAACAGACTTAAGAAAATGAAAACACTCACTTCTCATTGAAGAAGCTGTCCTTTACAATGACCTTATTATTTAACCTCTTAAATTTAAGCATGTTGTTTAATGCCTTATTTCTTGCTACTATATAAACAGATTCAAATAAACAAATGAGGAGAATCAGAGCATATTTGTTAACGTGTTGACAACTGTCTTCTGATTTGGTGCACCAAAAAAATTCTCAGAGCTAATATTACCAGACAAATAGTTCACATGACTTAAAAGTTTTAAAGTTGTCCATTATTGAAAGATACAAAAGAAAATGCTTTTCGTTTGTGTTCCTGTTGGCAGCAGCTACCCAAATATACAAGAAAGTTTACCTGTTTCTCAACAAAAAGTCGTCAATTACCTGCTGAAAAATCTGCATAACAAAAAATGTATTTGCATATTAGATGAAAGAGCAACAGGTGACCATAAAATATTGTGGCCAAAAGTGAAAGTCTGGGACGAAAAATTCATGCTTTCTTCATTTTTTACAGACAATTTAACTAATTTTTTGTCATTTTACTTTTTTGTGTAACCAGAGGTTAGAAAATCTCTTTTAGTTTTTTCGTCTTCATTGTTGCCACGAGATTAAAAAAATAACCTTATATGGAATTGTTTGAGCAAAGTTCGGAAACCAAAACATTTTCTTTGCAACATTTAAAAGATACAATTAATTTTTTTCTTCTGATTTTACCACCAAATAGTCATAATCCCTCAAGCACATGCTTTCTGGCTTTTAATAGATCAAGAATTTCAAAGATATTACAGGTGAAACGTCAGCATTATTTGACAAAGAAATTTACTATTTAGGTCGGTTCGAAAGTACTGTGGCAAGCTTTTTTTCCGCTTTTACATGTTGACTCTGCAGTCCGGAAATTTTTCTTTGAAAGCTTTCACGCTTTCTTGTGAAATACTGAAACAGTCTGTGATGTCCAGTGTTTCTAAAAAAGGAAGCGAGTCACCGATCTCCAACAGCTGCTCACCTTCACTAACAATGTCCGTGAAACTTATATCCAAATACCACAAACAATCAAGATAACAAAAACACGATTTAAGCCCCTCGTAAGTGAGTTTGTTGCACCCATTTATAGACAAAAACGTCAGTTCCACATTGTAACAAATTGTCTTGAGACCTTCGTCCGTGATCTCCGCAAAACCTAAACCCAGAGAATGAAAAAGATCGCTGGCATAATTAGCGATCACGCAAGCTGCATTATCCGTGATACCTGTTTCCAAACTGTTCGAATTGTGGACAATGAGTCGCGAAAGTTTTTCGCATCTGTTCATGAGAGCATAGACTCCAACATCTGTAATTTCACTAAATTCTAAGGACAGATCTTCAAGGCAAGGCAGATGATCAGCGATCACAATCAAAGACACATCCGTGATGACCCCGTTTGAAATATTTAAGCATTTTAAATTTCGGCATAATTGAGCGATTGTACAAACCCCAAAGTCAGTTATACCACCGTCTTTGTCACAGTAATCAATGACGAAGGACTCCAACTTTCGGCATTTTTTCGCCAAGGAAGACAAGCTTTTATCCGTCACTAGGACTTGGTTATAGCGTAGCGTTAACTCCTTCAATTTTGGACAACCATTCGACAAAAGTCGTACCATTTTGTCGGTCAAAGCATCCGTGTAGCTTCGTTGATTGTCCTCGAGGGACGCCTCGAAAACTATAAGTTTTTCGAGATCAGGGCATCCCCTTGAAATTACCTTGACTGTATTTTCTGTGACAGCGATAGAATAAGCGTATAGGGCTTTCACTCCAGGGTTACTTTTGACCAAACTTGTCAGCGCTTTTTCAGAAATTTTCCTCAAGGGAATCGAGACCGTTTCAAGTGAGTTACAATTGCGCGCCAAAGTAAAAATACCGGAGTCCGTGATTAAATCACAACCATCTAGAAAAAGCTTCTTTAGGTTTGGACAGTGTAAAGCAATATGCTCCAGAGACACATCTTTAACTCCAGCACAGTTGGTCAAATAAACGCTCGAAATCAGGTTTGTTTTACGGGGTATAATTCTTGAGATGGTGTCCGCTTCTACCTTTCGAGCGTGTTTATCTCGAAGGTGAACACTTTTCCACAAGCTTGGGTCGTAGGCCAACCGATGCCATCGCTTACACACTCTGGTGTTTCGAACAAGCGAAGGATAGTAGAGATAGGAAAATATCTGAATTATTACGGAGTCCGGCAATAAAGCGAACGTAGCCATTTCGACAATGTCTTTGTTGAAATGTTTGGCCGTTTCCGTTTTTCATTGATTTTCCCGCGTATTGTCCTCAGCCTCTTTCTCGCGAAGCCTCGATATCATTCTAGTTCCCAGATCCTCTGTTTTACTTTCCACATGGACAGTTGAGGCTAATACAGCTTTTGTTGAGCAACACGGAATTCCTTCCATTTTTTTCTACCTTTGGAGCGATAAAGCTTGAAAATGTAAGTCACTTACCTTCTTCAAAGTGATGTTTTTATAAAACAATACCAGAACTTGATGAAATGCATCTTTCGAGCGACTTTTGGGAAAGAATTTTATTTTGATTTTAGTTTTCGGTTGTAAATCTCAAGTTTGAAATGCTCACTTTGGTTAATCGTAACATGAAACGGCTTAGACTGATTCATTTGTTTCGTTTTACAGCTTTGATGGCCTTTTGCTTACTTTAACTTTATAAGGGTAAGTACGTGCTAACTTTGTAATTTGTGGTCCTTAAAAATGGCGACCGGAACATGGCCAAACCCTTCATTCCCATTGGGCTTTGCAGTCTCATGCAAACATGGCGGATAAAGATGTCTATTTTGCTAAATACAAGCTTTTGTTATGTTCGTTTTTGTGTAGTGTCTAAAAATGATCACAAGTTGTTGTTGGACTTTTGACTTACTTTTATTTTTTCTAGCTTAAAAAAAAAAAACAACAGTTTGGTTCTCTCCCACATTGAGCTCTCCAAGTATGATGAACTGCATCATTTCAACCATCTTTCGGGACAGAAATATTATGTTGACGTGCATTATCTGACTTGAGAGGAACTGTTAATTATTGCATCTCATGTTACTTTAAACCATTATTTTTACAAGAGCACTCTCAATTTTTTCTTAGAGAAGAATCAGTTTGACACACCAAACGATTTTGGATACAAGGCTCACATTGTAAGTACAGCTATGGAACTAAAAGAAGAATTATTATAGCGAAGATATGTGCTGTATACCTTTAGGTGTCAGGTTTAGGGCTTTTGAGCTTTATAATCAACTTCAGTGTGTGCAAATTTTCTTGAGTTTTTCAAATATATTTCCTGCAGCCCTTGATTAAAGCAGTTTTTCTTATTTCTGAACATATATAGAATGCAATAACAGCCGTCTCTCCTTGCTCCTTGCTGCTGGGGACATTTCACTATCAGAGATGACTGCAACTCAGCAACAGAAATTCCATACTGGTGATCAAAAATCTGTCCAGAATCTGGTCATGAGCTCTGATTGGTCAATGTAGTAGTTATATTGTTTTAGCTATTGTTTATGAACACTATACAGAAGACAAACAGTCACAAAGGTCAAATGTAAATGCAATAAATCTACTACAAAACAGTCAATTTTTATGGAATATATTTTTTTTACCAGAACTATTTGAGTTTTGAAGAAAAGTTTACCATGATTGACCAGGAGAAACATGAAATTGAACAAATTTATACTTGGAACCCTCTTTAATACTGCATTAATTATGTTTAACATTGATTCCATGATCAGTATTGTATTTCTGTCACTGACGGCAGACGTCCCTCCTAGCGAAATGTCCCTATTGGTGAGGAGCGAGGAGAGATGGCTGTTTTCACAGGCTAGAACATATCGTAGCAAGAATTGAACGAGATATAAAATACATGAAGTATGACTCATTGTATAAACATGTTAGGTTTTTCTTTTCCCATATTGGTACGCTTTACTAATGGAACAATGTCAAAATATTGTAACTCAAGTGTTGAACCAATGTTTGGTTTCACTGCAAATTTTAGACTAAAAGGTTCTCTCTTTCCAGATTGTTTTCAAAATGTCTGACATGGATGATGACTTCATGTGTGATGATGAAGAGGAGTATGACTTGGAGTACTCAGAAGACAGTGCTTCAGAGCCAGATGTCGATTTAGAAAACCAGTATTACAACTCCAAAGCTTTGAAGGAAGATAATCCTAAAGGTTCTCTAGAGAGTTTCCAGAAAGTACTGGATCTTGAGTCTGAGAAGGGAGAGTGGGGTTTTAAGGCTCTGAAACAGATGATTAAGATCAACTTCAAACTGGGTCATTATGAGGAGATGATGACCAGATACCAGCAGTTGTTGACTTACATCAAGAGTGCTGTCACACGGAACCACTCTGAGAAGTCCATTAACTCCATCCTGGATTACATCTCCACTTCAAAACAGATGGAGCTGCTGCAGAATTTTTATGAGACCACTCTGGAGGCCCTTAAAGATGCTAAGAACGATAGGCTGTGGTTTAAGACAAACACAAAGCTGGGAAAGTTGTATTTTGATAGAGGAGAGTTCACCAAACTGGCAAAGATTTTAAAGCAGCTTCACCAATCTTGCCAAACCGATGAAGGGGAAGATGATCTCAAGAAAGGCACGCAGCTGCTTGAAATTTATGCACTGGAGATTCAAATGTACACTGCACAGAAGAATAACAAGAAGCTAAAAGCTTTGTATGAGCAGTCACTTCACATCAAGTCTGCTATCCCGCACCCGCTGATTATGGGGGTCATTCGTGAATGTGGTGGAAAGATGCACCTGCGAGAAGGTGACTATGAGAAAGCGCACACTGATTTCTTTGAGGCTTTCAAGAACTATGATGAGTCTGGTAGCGGGAGACGCACAACTTGCTTGAAATATCTGGTGTTGGCTAACATGCTGATGAAATCTGGGATTAATCCTTTTGATTCACAAGAAGCAAAACCTTACAAAAATGACCCAGAGATTCTTGCTATGACCAATCTTGTCAGTGCTTACCAAAATGATGACATCAATGAATTTGAAAAAATTCTTAAGACCAACCGTAAGAACATTATGGACGACCCTTTCATTAGGGAGCACATAGAAGACCTGTTAAGAAACATACGAACGCAAGTGTTAATTAAACTGATCAAGCCATACACAAGGATTCATATTCCGTTTATTTCAAAGGAATTGAACATTGATACAGAAGAGGTTGAAAGCCTCCTTGTTTCCTGTATACTTGACAATACTATTCATGGCCGCATAGATCAGGTCAACCAGCTTCTAGAACTGACCAGAACCTCACAAAGTGTTGATAGATTTGCTGGCCTGGACAGGTGGACCACACAGGTCAATTCACTTCATACTGCTGTTGTAAACAAGATTGCATGAACTGTGGAGAAAGAGGTAGCTTGCCATAAAAAGCGAAGATTGCTTGCACTGCATATCTGTGAATGCTTTTTACACGTCTGAAGAACACTATCAGTGACTGTAGAGCTGATAGCAAGAACTACCTTGCTGGTTGATACCACTTTACAGAACTTGTGGGTACATATGATTTTTTGTTTGACAATAATGATCAGCTACACTTTGTAATTGAAAACAAGTGTAGCTTTGATTGTTCATCA